AGTGAAACCGGAGGAGGAGAAGATATCTTTATCGGCTGATAAAGATATTGCAAGGACTCTTAACTTGGACTATACTAGTGAGTCTTACTGGATGGAAATACTGTGAATGACTTAATGGACTGAATGACAATGCTTAAACTCTAACTGGATTAAAAACTATTTAAACTACAAACAGTGTTTGTGTTCAGTGTGTGTATACTCTGGGGCCCTTCCACTCTCGTTTGGCTTCCTGGCTTGACTACTGCTGCAATACTCTTCTAGGGGTTAATCCCCAAATACCTAACACCCTTTAAGAGGTGTTTATATAAAGGCAGCCATTAAAAGGTGAGTTCTCTCTCCTTGTGTCCGGTATTCATTGTAGAGTTCTCAGTGTGTTAAGAAGAGTTAAGAAGAAGTTTGCTTACTTGTTAAGGTATTTTGCCTACCACGTATATACCTGTATATAACTGCTGTATATAAACCACTGTTAAATGTCTAAGTCTCTGTGTGCTGTGTTTTGCTCCATAATGGTAGTCACGCTGCAAACGCTCTGACAGGCTTCTTATGGAGACAATAAGCCAATGCCTCCTTAAGAGGCAGAGGAACAATTCCTTCTCTCAAGGATGAATTAGCCATTGCTAGAACCCAACCACACCTTAACCACCCAACCCGGCAGCCTTAGTTAGCCAAAAGTGGCATGGATCTCAAAAGCAGATGGCTGAGCTCCTAGTCATGAGAAGAACCTGGTCCATTTTCTCTTAAGTTTTAAATATCTTATGGCCAGAGCAAACAGAAAGTGTGTTAAGGAGCTGAGACAGACACCTTTCTAATTCACATGGGCATAAGGAGAAAGAGATTCAAAACAATCAGATTTGCAAGATGACTCTCAATAAAACCAGTCTTAGCTTTCCTACAGCCTGTCGGGTGCAGCTTAATACCTAGAGACCACAGGAATGGTAATTCCTGGTGGTTTCCTCTTAGTATTACCTAGGCCTGAAACCTAGGTTTTGGAATTCAATCGAGGTTGGACAGACAGTGCCCCATGAGACTGTTTCTCAAAGCTTTTGATTTTTTGCACTTGTATCAGAAGCCCTGAGGCGCTTCCGGGGTGAAAGAATTCACCGGTGACGTCACCATTGCCCTAGGGACGCCCAGTTGGGGGCTCCTTTCATGTCCCCAGCAGAGCTGGAGTGAAGGACAAGAGCTCAACCCTGCCCCACAGCAGCTTTCTGGGTCTCGAACACAGGCTTGATAACCTCCTGCTCAACGTCCCAACCACTCAAGCCACCACACTCCTTCTTATGAGATAAAACTTGAATAATATCATTAAGATGGTCTTCCATATTTTGTTACAGTGCAACTGTATTATACCTAATGTTACAGTTTAATACCTTTCATTTTAACTAAACATATGGGATGATCTATAAAGGGCACATTTTATTTGCAAGTTTGTCTTACAGAAATTTGTCAAAATGGGTCATTTGTCACTAGTTGTCAGCTTTAAAATTCAGCTGTCACATTTCATGGAAGGGGGGGTGGAAGAGTTGAAAAGCTTAAGGTTATTCTGTATGTTGTATTAAGAAATTCCAGTTGCAATTAATTGGTTCTCGTGATTTATGAAGTGTAGAAGTGGGAGGAGAGAAGGGAGAAGAGAAGGTGTAACAAGAAAATAATTTCACTTTGGGAAATTGCCTTTGACATGCCAGATGTTTCTAAATAAATCAATTGGATAGAAAATGTCTCAGAGTGATTGATATCACGGATACTTTCTGGATGCCTTACACTGATATTAGTAAATACTGGGTCTGAGTTTGGTTTGTGATCAAAAATAATGATTAATTATCAAAAGATCTGATAGCATTTCATATTTCTTGTTAGACCTCCCCTTTTTTATGTACTTTCCTTTCCCTAGATTGCACTTTAATTATTTTTATTCTTTGATTAGAAATAAATAAAAACAATAATAAATAAAAATGTTAACAGTGTTTGTTTGTTTCCAGTGTGGGGGAAAAAGAAATAATATAGATCTCTTATCAACTTTTCTTCTAAACTGAACAAGAAAAATATACAATTTCAATTCGTGTCAACTTTCTAAAACCTCTACCATATTTCCCCGAAAATAAGACCGGGTCTTATATTAATTTTTGCTCCAAAAGACATATTAGGGCTCATTTTCCAGTTAGGTCTTATTTTCAGGGAAATACGGTTCCAAATGCGTTCATCTGGCTGACAATCTTAACTGGGTCTTATTTTTGGGACAGGGCTTATATTATGAGCATTCTGAAAAATCATGCTAGGGCTTATTTTCCAGTTGGGTCTTATTTTCAGGGAAACATGGTATACAGGTGAACCCCCTCTTTTTCCCCTCTACTCTAGTAACCCACAATCCAATTTTTGCTAACAGCCACCTTAGCTTTTGAGTTATCAGCACAACAAAAAGTCAGCCTAAAGATTTAAGGATTCAGGGTTTTTATGGTGAGAAACATCCTTTTCCTGTTAACTGAGCTCTGTTATGAGCCAACAGTGGATCATGACTAACTGGAATGTATGCGGATCTCTTCTGTGTTCTCCACCATTCTGCTTAAATATTTTATAAATTTGCTCTACCATTTCAATTTTAATTATATGTTCTGTATATCTACTAATATATTATTCATATACATTTCAGCGTTTGATCCCCAGTAGCATTT